AGAGTCTAACACAAATCTGGCAGAGCAGTCTAATAAACCTGAGGCATAGGAAGATATTTCATTGCTCTTTTCAAACAATAGGTGGTGTTTGCTGCCTACAACTTGCAGGAAAACACTGAAGCAACATCAAATTTTATGGATATGAAATAACAAATAGGATTTTTTAAAGCCCATTATTAACTTCATGATTTTTGTCTTAGCTATAGGGCTTTTACTCAGAGCACACTCTGACTCAAACAAGTAGCTTCTGCAGCACTCCCAGCCCCATTGGCAAGTTTTGCACAGCCAAAAGGCTAGCAGTCAGCTGGGAGTTACTGATTTAACCTCTCTAGGAAAGGAAACACACAGTGACACTCAGGAGAAGGATTATTCCTAAGGAGAGTTGACACTCCTTCCTGATATTCCACAGGTAATATTATCTCTCACTAGAGACTAGTTCCAGATAGTGATAGTAAAGCCCAGAGAAACATGCTTTACTGCAGGCATGCACTGAGTTACAAAGTGGGAGCTTCAGTTTCTACTTTGAGTGCAACAAGTACTGCTTATTGTTAATTTTAACAGCAAAACCTGCACATGCTTCTTGGCATACATAATGATTAGAGATGCGCTGCCTGCTCCTCCCTGTCTGTACCAGTTGAAAGTAAAGACCTATCTCCCAGCATTGAAATTCTTGGTATACAAAGTCTTGAGCAGGTCTTTCACAGTGTACCTGAGCAGACTTGTCGAGCTCCCGGTCTGAGATCTGTCGCTCTCTCGGCCAGACACAATTGCCTTCCATGTCTTCCCACTGAGCTCACTTGGTGTGACACCTTGACGGAAATAAATTGCTCTGTCATCACAGCCGATTCCCCACACCTAGGGAAGGACAGGGCTTGGTGAAGGAAATGCCATGGAATGCAAGTAGATAACAGCTACAAAAAAGGTTTAGTAGTGAAAAATTCAGCACAAAAATCTGCCAGACACAGCATTTTCCTTTTGTCTTCCTCCTTAATGCTGATATTGTAGATGCAGCTTAAAATTCTGTACCATTAAGAGAAAACTCTTTGCACTTGAATGTGCCACACATGAGACATGCAGACTTATTATCTTCTGGTGAAGAGTTTAGTCATGCATTCCCTCCTAGCAGTTCAAGCACATGGATCTCTTGTCCAGCTGTCTGTATTGGCACTGCTGACAGTCCTCACCATGTGTGAATGCTGCCGGTATAAAGGGGAACATAAATACCGTCACAACTGGTATAGAGCTGTCTTACCTGGTTATTTAAGCCTACAGTTACCATCATCATTTCTCCAACCATTTCAATCCAGCTTGTCCCACAAGGATTATGTGAGTTCACTCCTCTTCTAAACCATACCTACAACAACAACAGCAGAAAATTCAAATTTACTCCTGCCTTAGCAGGCAGATAGCTGGAATTTAGTTTCTTCAGTGGATTAGTCTTAATCTCTAACACTGACTTCCTGTATCACCTTAAGAAGTCACCTCCTTGGTTCTTTATCAGGTGAAGATAATTTTCTTCATAGTACCCAGCCTGTGTGTTCTTGTGACCAACTACAGCTAGAACTGCCCACAAGGAGACTTATTGTTATGACTTTCTGTGACAGAGTTAGTTTCTCTGCCATTGCAAAACCACTTTGTATTACCTGTCAGCAGTAAGCTATTTTTGGTTACTTGGAGTGGGCTTCTACCTGATGTTCTTGTGTCCAAACCCTCGAAACGGGGCTGGTGGAGAGAACTGTCAGAGGGATCTTTTTAGTGATACAGCTCTTTAAATTGTCTCCCCTTAGATTAGTTTTTACCAATCCAAAAGTGTCTGGGGGCTGGGTACCCGGAAAAATTTCCAGCTGTATTTAGCATATCACTATATAGCATCAAGCAGCTACTTTAGAAGTTGTTGGTTCAATCGCATAACAGACAGTGTGCTTGGCTATCTCATAGATGAAAACCATGCTAGCTTACCTACATTTATTACAGCCGTTTGGCTTGGCAGATGGAACGGGTTGAATACAGTCAGCAGTAGTAACTCATTAAACCAGACTTCCTCAATTACTTCAAACTACTATAACATTCATAGAAATCATCTATGGTTTTGAATTCAGTACAAAGGGATTTGATGACAACCAGCACAAGAGCACTCTAGTACTTTCTCAAGACTTTCAAGACTGCCGCAAGGAGCAGAAAGTTGGACTCCATGATCCCATTTGATCATGGATCATATCCAACTTGAGATATGCTGTGATTCTAAAAACAAACAAACAAACAGAACCAGAAATTGACACCTCTTACTTTTCTATCCTTTGTAACACACCACACCACATCAACACCCACAGACACGTGCATAATCCCATTTTCAGAGCTTGGAGACTCCACAATACTCCAGGAAATTCCTGCAAGAAACAAATCCCAGAAGGCATTGTAGATTAGTTTCTTATTTAACGCTATATAAATCAAAGGGGTTTCCAGACAAAGTTACCAAACTTTACCTTGAGGGTTATTCCTATCAATTCCTTCTCTCACAATAGCTTGCCCTTCCCAAAGAGTTGCCCAAAGGAGATCATATGGTCCACAGCTGATCTGTACAACTTCACCAGGAGTGGTGATTAAGGACCACATGGAACCCTCTGGATTGTGATGGCAGACATTTTCTCTGTACCATACCTAGACAAGTTCAAAAAAGAAACATAACCAAATAAAACTTAGGCAAATATCACTACAACAAAAAAACCTCTGAGACAAGCATGAAGACAAACTGGAAAGTACAGTCCTCCTCTAACAACAGGATGTTTTAATGCAGTGTATGCACTCTGACCTTTAAAAGTATGCTTTTGATGTTGATTACACAGTTGAATTTATTTCCTTATGTACTAAGGGAGGAGGCTTTTTACAGACTGGCTTTTATCATGGAAGTGAATCTGGATTGGGTACAGTAACCTATTGCTACATGTTCTGTGTGTATTTCAACATCTAAAAGACACTTCAGTGTATTTCAGGGCATGTTATATAAACCAAGAATGAACAAATACATAAAATGTTACTGTTTGATGATAGCCTGGCTTCACTTTCACAGAACAGAGCTTGCTACAACATGGGTGAAAAATGCCGCTCTCTGTGCAGCCTTCAGTGACACCCAGACCATCTGGTCCTACTGTCTGTGCACTTTTCTATAGAGCACAGTCAAAATAGGAAGGTCAAACATAGAAAGCATCCTCCAGCAGTCATACCAGTACTCCAGAGCATGACTGCTGAGGGCTAAATGCTCATTTTTAGAAATACTTTCTTTCTTGGGGGACTTTTAGTTGGGAAATTGAAACATTTTACAATGTCAGTCTAGTACGCTTGTAGAGTGGGATGCTTTCACTTACTACTGAGGAGCATGAGGCATAGGGAACTTCATTTTAACCAAGATTTCTTGCCTCTCCAGGCAGTACCAAGGGTGCCTGAAATCTCAGGCTATCTGTTAAGAGTATTACATTTTTCCCTGTGAGACTGACCACAAGTTAGAAATCGTCTAGAGACAAAGAAATGTCAAACACATGCTCTAAGGATTGAGGGAACGAAAGCAGAAGTCAAATCTTTACAACACTGAGCAAGAGAGGTGAGCCCTAAAAACAAACAAAAGAAAGATGGATAGTTTTCAATAGAAAATAAATCCAAAACATTCCAGAGTTGGAATTCCACATTGCCAAGTCAGGAGGTTACTGTCTTACGAACAGTAAGTCTTAGAAAACCATTCTGGAAACTCTTTCTTGAATCATTCCTGACTATCTACCACAGAGACATGGCACAATGCTCTGCAAGAATCTTTATCAGGTTTTAAGGCTCCTTCTCTCTGTTACAAGCGTCTGCATTCTGGGCATTTTTCAGGATATAAGACACTCCTCAGCCCAAGTTTTTAAGATTCACATGTTTATAGAGGTTTAAGGCTTCCAGCAACCCCATGAAAGACTAAGCCTTTCCATTTACAGCACAAGTTGTTACATAATGTTGTCTCAACACAGCTTTTACATCCTCTGCCAAATGCACATACAGCTATTTCCTTACCAACATCAGACAATCTAGTTGAGGATGTCCCTGCCCATGGCAGGGGGTTGGACTAGATGACCTTTACAGTCCCTTTCAACCCAAACCATTCTCTGATTCTATGAATAACAAACCTGCCATGCATTAAAAGCATTTAACTCCTTTTTAGTAGTTACTGAAAAATTAGGGGAACATGCACATACCCTTCCTTGTAAAGAAACAGCCCACACTGATAAACGGCCCAGAGGCTCATCGGTGATTTCCCATCCTCCAATGGAGATGTCATTGAAAGGGTCCGGCAATTTATCTGGATCATCTTGGGATACAATCTGAAGCAGAGAAGAAAGATTGAGGAGACACTGCAAACAGGTGATTTGCCTGGTGGCCTAATTTGTCTCTTGCCGACTAGTTAATGTATGAAGATTCCTCTCATTCAAGGCTGGTATAGGCAGCTGCTGAAGCACGATGAAAAAGTCTATTTCATTCCCTAACTGAAGGGAATTTTTACTCCCAGAACAGTATATACAGAGGTTCTCTGAATTGGAAAGCTAGAACGTGACAAATTACAACTTCTGTATATTCTTAAAATGGAACAATTATTAAAGAACAGTTTTTCATACAGACAAAGGACGCAGTAGTGACTGATGCTAGACTAATGCACCTCAAACAAGTGTGCTTTGTCAAACAACCAAAGGAAGTTAAAAAGTTGGTTTGACATTTGCAAAGGAGATGAGCATCTACCCCTAACTGCATTACCATGAGATCTGGAACTTTATTACCATAGGTTTTTACGAAAAATCCCAGCCTTCCATTTGTACCTCCAAGAATTACAAGTTGGAAGTCAAGGGATACAGGTCCAGCCTCCAAAGCACTGATAAAAAACATTAATTGCCCTGCATTTAAAATTGATTATTTCAGAAAATTGATTTATTTAATATTTAAAAGATATCCAGAACCTTTGCCCAAACGTCCCGTGATTTGTATCTCCGGTATCTGATCCACCTTCTGCGTCTGACACAAGAATTCCATCTCTTATCCTTTGTGTAGGTGCTGGGGAAGTCTATGGCATAAGTCCAGCCCTGCAAACAGAGGTTTTCTTGTATGAAAATCAGGACCAAGGGAAAGCTTGAAGTCATAACTCGGAGCAATTCTGCACAAGAATCACTCCTACAACTACAGTACAAATTACTGTGCGTGTCTCAACAGCCCCGGTTAACACACCAGCTAATTCCATATGAGTCCTGTTCAAATTCCTCTGCATGATATACACAGAACAAGCAAGACACAGTAAAGCATTTTACTTTTTTCATAGTTAAGGTCATAAATAACAGTGGCATCCAGTAGCCAGCATTTTGCGGCATGTTCAAAGGAAAAAGCTTCTGCAGAAGCTGCTACAGACTTCAAACAAGATCCTTCCTTGTGTTGTATTATAGTTGAGCTACTTCCTAGAAAGAAGCAGCTATGTGAAGTGCCTTTTATTTTTATAGACCTTTTACACTTCTATAAAAGTGCCTTTTATTTCACAGCCTAAGGATTCCCAGAATAGATCTCTTTATGGTATTGTTCACCTACCCCTTTCTCTGTTGGTTCCCCTCCAATATTTTCATCCACATACCAGTCAGACTCCCACTCCCAGTGGGGTGAAGGCAGTGTGAAACTATCGAGCTGCTGATGTTTTAGCCCGCTCACATCACTCCACTGCCAGCGGTCACTAGGCAGTAATTTCTCACAAAAGCCACCAACTGGATTCCAGCGCTGTCGGAAATAATACATGATTTTATTTGAGATCACATCATTTCACTGGACATCTACAGGGAGTCATGAATGATACATTGCTAATTTTCTGCAGTAAGAGAGGAATAAAATCCTGGGGTGAATGAGAGAGTGTTCATGCTGTAAGCAAGCCCCTATCTAACACAGTCTTTGGGAGAAGCTTTTCGAAGTATCAAAGGAGGGCTGACTGCAGTTAATCCCAACCAAGTCATTTTCAGCCACATAAATAGGAACATCTGATGATATATCTTAATACTAACAGTGCTTTTTTCTTGGGAGATGCATGGCACCATCACACTGCAGCATTAGGATAATGCTGTATAGGTGGCCTTGGGATCTCTAATCTACTCACCATGAGAAAGACGATTAGTGTCTTGCCTGCACTAGAAAAACAGCATGGCCTTTGTGCCAGGAACTGTGTCAAGATAACAGCATCAGTAACTCTTCCCTGTGTCTTAAGTTATACCAAAGGTTTTGGATGTTTCTCCAGATCTGGCTTTAATCAGTTACAGGACAAATAACTTGCTGGGATTTTTTACTACAGAAATACTGGCAAAATTTTTCATGTAATACTCTCTTACATTTTAGGGCATGTGGAAAATGAGTGGTTTGTTTACTTTTACTAGGAACCTGGCTACATGGCTTTGCGCATTATCTCTAAACTATCTGAGTTTCTTTTTGTTGCTGTTAGCTCTTGCAGAATATTTCCTTTTGTACTTTTTAGTATTTTGGTTTCCATTTTTTCATGGTCTAGAACAAACAAAACAGATGTTTTCAAATAACAAAATGAGATGTAAAGTTTTGCATTTTATAAGAACACATTTACATAACAAAAGGAACATTTCTAAATGGCTGGAAAGTTGTGACAACGTTAAATAATGTAGAAAATTAATTTGTTGTATTTTTACCCATGCAGATAAGTTAATGTCTTTTCTCAACTTACATTTATCCCATTGCCTGTTAGAAATCAGAGAAATGTGCTCAAGAAAACCCTTCAGTTTTCTCAAACAACTTTTGGTTAATTTAAAACCAAAATAGATCAATTTCCTTTAAAATACTATTTTGAATACATTCTTTTTTTGAAGTATGTCACTAGGAAGGATCATCTTAACTTTTCTATGCAAAAAAAGCTGGAAACATACTTCAATGGAGAGTTATGCCTTTATTAGAGTTGAAACACTAAAAAATAGCATTTTCTTAAGAATAATATATTTCTGATAATATATGTTTGCTGCCTGGAAGTTACATTGGACATAAGGGGATTGTGTGTCACTAATGAAGGGAAAACATCAGGTGAAAAGGGTGAATGTTCCAGTCTGCAATGGCTTTCACGAAGCAGGCTGTGGTGTACTGGCTTGCACGAAGTGGTGTACACTGGTGCTGCTTTTGGCAAGAGAAGGGAAGTATGGCCTTCCTTTGAGAATTAAAATATTAAAAGAACAACCTGCTATTTGGCACATATGTACTCTTCAGAACATCAGGTTTCAGAAACACCATTAAAACATAAGAATAAAGCCAAACAATCTTCCTTGTGAGAGAAAAATGCAGAGACAGCTGATGTATGGGTTTGCTATCACTCCGTTCTGATGAGCACGTGGCAGTGTGACAGGTAACCATGTGTCATACCTGGTTCTCATAAGTTTCTTCCTGGTATCTAATAGGAACGTCACCCGAGAACACGTAGGTGTAGACTTGATGGTCACAGGCTATTCCCCAGCAGCACTGCTTGACAGCAGACACCCGCTTAAATTCCAGCTGTGCATCCTTGCAGAGCTCCCAGTACTGGCCAACAGTAGACAGGGTGTAAACCCTCCCAAAAATGTCAACAGCCCACAGAAGGGAACCGGGCATGGCCATGGCTGAAAGGCAAAGAAGGAGAACTGGTAACACTGGTGGTGCTACACAACCTGCTCATCTCAGTTACACAGACCCACAATTTATTTCCTCCTCAGCCTCCTCTTATTCCATGCAACACAGGGAAAGATGTGAAAGGGAGCTTCTCCATAAGCACCCATCTAGTTTTAATCCATGGACATTTTACCTGATGCAGCCAGGAAAACTCTTTCCAAAGCATTCTGGCAACCACTTAATTTAATATACCTAGGTGGGGTATTTATTTAAGTGTACATAGAGTGTAGTTTCCCAGCAGAGGCCTGGTTGAGTTCTATTCCAGTTGCATCACTCAGAAACCTGATGCTTCCTGGGCACTGCAGCTCTACCCTTCATGGAGGGTTCAGCATTTATGTGAAGTGGGTGTACACCAATCCTTTCAGAAGCCGAGAAAGGCCACTATTTCTGTCACTTGGCCTTCTGGGTGCCATTAAACGGAACAGATTTTGGTTGTTCTGTATGTCTGACAGTCCCAGCTACTGGTGAGTATTTTGAACTTTGCCTCCAGTTCTATTAACTTTGCAGTGGAGGACCAGGAGGGGAAAGCTGACTTGGATCCCACACAATGAAAGAAAAGAGGAATCCCTGACAGCTTCTGACTGATAGCAGTGGTACACAGGGACCAACTAGTACTGGGTGTTTGAATGGTAAAGACAGACCTGAAAACAATTAGGCCAGTGTGAATGAGCAGCAGAATGCACTCATATGGGATCCCAGGGGGATGTTTCAGAATGCTTTGATTCTTAGAACTGCTGCTGCTAAGTACCCAAAAACCTGGATCCACCAGGTGAGTAACAGGTAACAGCAAGAACATTTACAGCAGCAGAGAATGAGCAAAATTCTCCTATTAGCTGTGGCAGCACTACTATAATGAATGCTCTAATTTTGACTTATTATTTCTCTCCTTGTGGCTGTGAGTACACAGGCATGTATTTACCACCTTTGTTTGCTCTTGGACCAGCAATTTATCTTCTTTATATACCTTCTATGTTAGCAGAAGAAATATAGTACAAAAGGACATAATATGGGAAAAAAAAAATTGAATGGAACAAAGTGAAGGTGAGGGGAAAGTTATAATGGGTGTACCACTGGGAAAAAAAAGACCATGAAAATAGCACTTAAAATTCTGCAGAACAGTCTTTTAACAGAGGAAAACATGATACATTCCATCTTAAGCAGCCAGAACGTGAGTCTGGAGCAAAGGCAGCACTGTGGATACTACAGTGAAGGTACCTGCCTAGCAGGTAATGAAGAGAAGGGATGCCTGGGTGTGTTAAAGGCAGGCAGCTATGCAGTCAAGGGCCTGCATCTGGGAGGACAGCCTGGGCAGCCAGGAAGTACCTGGAACAGTTCACAAAAAGTTCCAAAGATCATGCAGTTTGGAAAAATACAAGTGGGATTAAAATAATCCAGGCAGATGTAACTGGATTAAAATACTCAAGGCAGCTGAGATACTGCCAAGTATATTCTTTCTTCTGAACTTCTGAGGACAGAGTGTTTGGAGAATCACAGGAAAATCCCAAATGAATCTGGGATTATAAACTACTTCTAAGACTTCAGTGTCAGCCCCTCTGCACAGGCTGTGCTGCAGAAGATGATGTCTCCCTTGGTTGTGAAGGATGCTCAACACTTGTGGCTCATGTGCATTTCAGTGAATGCAGAAGTTGCCCAGTATCCTCAGGGGACAGGGAATATTCAGATCCACATCTGATAAATGCTTCCTCATCCCTCAGCTCAGCCGGGTCATTTCTGAACTACAACTGAGGTGAAGATGAGATACTGTTATTTATAATTTCCGGCTGCCTGACACTGATTGCTACAGAATTGAAGGAAAATATCCCAACTCCTCGCATGTTATAACAGTAACGGGGTTCCCCCGGAGAGGGGGGACGTGCTCCCCGGTTCCTCGGTCCGGGGCTCCGGTGCCTGCAGGGCAAACCGCGGCGGGACTGGCCGTGCTCTGAGGCAAGATCCGCACAAACCGGCCTCGCCTCCACTCTCCCAGAACACCCTCGGCGGGCCGTGCCGGGGGGTCCGCAAGTGCGGTACGAGCTCAACAACGCGCAAACACCCGGGAACGACCCCGGGA